TTATGATAGGTATGCACATCCTCGGATGCTGCAATCTTGCATTCCTGTGGTGTCGGCGTCCTCCGGCAGGCGGGGAAGGACCGCAACGGCAAGATCAGCTTTGCCGAGTTTGAGCACCTCATCAGGCGGGCGCGAAGCAGGGTTTAGGGAAAGGGAATCCTTCACGCACAAAGAAAAACAGGGACCTCCTACGTATGCTTGTTTTGATTCACTTGTTTGCTTAATCACTTGCTTATTTCTTTATACAGGGTACCACATTCATGTATACATAACAGCCCTGAGCCCTAAGCCATGTGTTTTGCTCACGTCCCTCCGTGTGGGTCCACGAGAGCCCCTGGAGTGTCCCATCCCCAAGATGAGGGGGAGGGAAGGGTTTAGGGGTTTTTGGGTTTAGGGTTTAGGGGCATAGGGTTTAGGGTTTAGGGGCATAGGGTTTAGGGTTTAGGGTTTAGGGTTTAGGGGCATAGGGTTTAGGGCTTTGGGCTTAGGGTTTAGGGCTGTTGGAGAAGGACTCTTGGCAGGTGGTTCGAGTATGGGGGATCAATAGTAGCTTAGGAACTTCAAGGATTGGAGGTTGTTTTCGAGCCAAAAGTAGGGTGCATCAGGCTTCCAGGCAGACGGGGGAGGAGCTCGGTTCTTCTTGCCTTGGCATTCGCTGGATTTGGCGGCCAGGTTAGATCACAGGGCTTCGTAAGGTTCCCGACCTCCCCCCAAAGGGATACCCCCAAGAATCTAAGCCCTAAAGAAGTCGGGAATATTTGGGGTACGGGAGTGGTTTAGGGCGATGGCTCAGGCAAGAAGTGGGTTGTTCAGGTTTAGGGTTAAGAGGGTCGTTGTTCAGGCGCAACCGTCCGGGCATGAAGCCTTCAATCAGGAACGGAAACTAGCCAGTTGTCCCCACATCCTCCCTCGAGGACCAGAATGCAAACTGCCCAAAACACCTGAACCCTAAACCCAAAACGCTTGAACCTCAAACCCTTAAGCGGTAAGCCCCAAGCCCCTGAACCTGGATCCGGGCCCTGGGGTTTGCTCGAGCAGACTCTTGACAAGAGTCCCTCTTTCCTTGCTAAGACAGTGTATATTATACAAACCTTTAGAGGGTATAGGAGGGTATAAGGTACCTAATTGCTTCATGATTCCCTACTCGGAATGGCTTCTCACGCGGAAGGCAGACCTTCGCCAACGACATGGTGTGAGGTGCCTGTACTGCAGAGGCCTGAATCCTGATCCTAGTGGTTTTTTTTGAACTAACAGCCGGGCTGAGGGCTAGGGGGTTCAGACCCAGTCGGGCTCTTGCACCGTAAATTCAAGACTCTTCAGACGTACTACAAGAGGGCGAGCATCAAGAGGGCCCTGGCTTTGATCAGCCCCCAAAAGTCCTTCTTTAGGCGAGTCTATCCGGACCCCAGAAGGCCCCTAAGCCAACAACAACTCCCTCCTAGACTCCCCAGACCCTAAATCCATGAAGCCCACAATCAAGTCCCATGGGTTTAGAGTTTAGGGGTTAGAGTGCATAGGGTTTGTGAGGTCTATAGGGTTTGGAGGGATAGTAAAATTATCTGCGGTAGGTTCCCTAAGTCAGGGTTCCTTTCTTTTTTCGGAGGGGGGGGGGAGTGGTGGTGGTAGCCTTTTGGGGTTTAGGTTTGAGGATGCCTAAAGGAGTTTGTGCATGGGTGCCCAGCAGCACCCTGATCCCTTCCCGCGTTTGTCTTAACTTAGGACTTTTGGTTTAGGAGGTTAGGGCGTCCTCTTATCCCCATTCAACAAAATTGGCATCTTCTGTTTCTTCGGTCTTTTGGGTTTAGGGGGCCCTACATGCCTGCAAGCCCTAAACCCTGAAGTAGTTCATAAGTTGGGATGCTCCCCCTTATACTAGCAGTCCTTAATGGGGATTATAGTACCCCCTACTACAATCCCTACTAAGAACTGTTAGTATGAGGGCTCACATCCCAATTCATAAGCACCTCAGGCGCGAAAGGGCTCTTCTCGCTCTCCCGCAGAATGTCACAGTCATTTTCAGCTTAGGTCTGATCTTGAGGACTGTCGGAGTTTAGGATTCGGGGCTAAGGCTTTGTGTACTTAGGGCTTCGGTCTTGTAAGGGATTAGGATTTAGGATTGCTGCGGACAAATGGCAGAATGCCCAAAGCTGTCCAAGATGTCCAAAGTGACAGCCTGAGCGTTAGGATTGGCCCAGGGTCATGTAAACTGCCCTGGCTCCTCTTGCGGCTCGGACCCTTTTCATCTTCTTTTGGAATTCTCACAAGACTCATCATGTTTCGCGCAGTGATGACAACGAATGTTTCCACTACCCCCCTCAACCCGTACACCCTATGAACCCTGATCCGGTTGAAATAGTTGACATGGAACCCCCCCCCCCCCCCCCCCCATTTTCCATTTCAACCATTTCAACCAGTTCATCCAGTTCAGCCATTTTAAACCCCTGCCCCCACTCCTTCCTCTCCCTCCCCAGACTTTCGTTTTCATCCATTTCATCCATTTCTGCAGTGTTTGCAATGCTTGAAGTGGTTGCAATGGTTGACCCTCCCCTCTCTGCCCCCTCCCCCTCTGTTTTCCATTTCATCCATTTCATCCATCATCGCAATGGTTGAATTTGAACCCCCCCCCTGATCTTCCGCTTCATCCATGTCATCCGTTTTTGCCATGGTTGCAATGTCGAAATGGAAACCCCCAACATTTTCCATCTCATCCGTTTAAACCATGTCGGCCTTTTGTTCAATCTTCCCCCCTCCCTTCCCTAGATTGTCCCCACGTCACCCGTTCTTGCAGTGGTTGAAATGGAAAACTCCCTCCCTAAAGGCCCAAGGGTTGAGTTCCCCCCGATGAGCCCCCAAGAACTCATCGCTCGATTTTTTTGGGAGGGCCGAACCGTGCGAGCCTGGGGTCAGGTTAGATCAGGGGTTCGCAGAGTCCTGAGTCCTGAACCCTTCCCAAAACCTCCAAAGGGGTCCGGGAGGTTCGGAGGCTTTGGCTTGAGGCACCGCCTTGGTGTGCACAAGGGGCTCTTCGTATTCGTGCTGTGTGATTCCTTGGTTCATCTCTCGCTGTGCTGTGCACGGCTCCTGTTGGACCTGACTGCTCCGGATCTGTTTTGATATTTTGATGCCGCGTCGAGCACGAGGAGTTGTCCGACCCGACTTCCTGAGCCTTAAAACTCTAAGCCCCCAAAACCCAAGATGTACCATCCGCCCCCAACCACCCCGAAAAACCCTAAACCCTGAATCAACCCCCACCGGCCCCCAAACCCTTCAAAAGCCTGATTGCACCCGTCCTAGCCCCCAGGCCTGCACGTGGTTTAGGGCTTCGGGTTCAGACAGCTGCGCACCTCCAGTTAGGGTTTAGGGTTTAGGCTTTAGGCTTTAGGCTTTAGGGATCAGGGTTTAGGGTTTAGGGTTCAGCCACAGCACGATTATGTTGGAGTCGTCTTGCTAGGTTTGTGTTCTGTGCTTAGTACCGACTCCGGTATATCCTTTAATGGAAGAGAAGAGCTACATGATGCCAGTCTGCTGTCCCACAGTGGCTCAAGAATCCTTTGCGTTGCCCAACGAAAGGAAGTAGGAAACTTAAAAGCGTTGTCGACAATGTGCGTGTCGGACAGGCCAACTACGTTCAAGTGAGGGAACTTCTACCAGTTCCGATAAATCCTGCCACCCCACGCATTCTAAGCTAAGAGCCCTTAAGCTTGCATGCTACGGGTCTAGCTTAGGCTTCTGGTGTTGCCTCAGAGTGTTTTCCAAGCATCGCGTTGGGGCGGCTGTGTCATCCACTGCAAACACCCCAAGCCCTTACACTTCAGCGTAGAGTTTAGGCGTGCTGTCTTAGAGGGCTTGGCTTTGAACCCTTCTATGTACAACCCTAAGCCTTAAACACCAGCCCCCCCTTTAACCCTCAAGCCCTAACACTCTATCCCTCAAAGCTCAAATGCCAGGGCAGGGTTTAGAGTGTTGAAGTTTGAGGGTATGTAGAGAAGTGAGAGTACCTAGGGTTGAGGGTCTAGGCTAGTTAGGGCATGTGAGGTTCGGGGCTTCTTTTGGCCATGCATTTCGGAAAAAAGCCAGTGGCAACTGGCACGCCGCCCCTAATCATCGAGCAGCAATCCGGCATCGGGGATTTCTCCGGCTGTGGGTCCACCTTGCAACACTGCCCAAGACAGCAGCCAAAGCAAGACCCAAAAGGCTGAAGCCTAGTTTACATAGGGACGTAGGGCTTATGGCCAATAGCGCTTTGGGGGGTTTTCTGGGCGCTTTGTTGTCAGTCAGCTGCGGGCTTCCAAGGATCAGGGCGAGTGACAGGAAGTTTGTATAGTTAGGTTGACTTGGCGGCGCGCCATCACCACCCCGGCTTTTTTGGGGCAGGCATAGGACTTTCGTAGGCTTAGCAACATCCTGTGTTTGAGGGTGCTTCTAGTAAAAGTGCTTGAAGTGGTCTATGATTATGTGCACTTTTTATCTGCAAAATCGACCTTGGCTTTTTTTCGCGAAAAGTATTGGCACCGAGCCTGGTCACTCGTACACACGGGTGACACGGACTTCATCATCGTGCGGGCATGGATGCTCGGGCCATTCGCACGCACGGGCAACACGGACAGAATCATCGCGCGGGTATGGATGCTCTAGCCAATGGATGCACTGGTAGCATGGACTCAATGATCGTTGCAAGGACAATACGGACGCAATCATCATGCGTGCGTCGTTGCTCTGGCCAATGGATGCACTAGTAGCAGCAGCATGCACGCAAGCATCGTGCGGGCATGGATGCTTGGCCACTCGCTCGTACCGGCAGCACGGACGTGGTCATCGTGTGGCCGCTCACACGCACTTAGATGCGCCAGGGAAACGCTAGCATGTCTGGGTCACGGCAACGCGGCTTTGCTGCAGCGCAACGGGTGGTTGGACGGCTAAACCCTAGCCCATATTTCCGAACAAAGTCCCACACCTCAAAGTGATCCTTCAACTAAACGCAAACCCTTTAAGCCCCTCCCATGCCCCGGACCGGGGATCCGGATCGCTGTTGAGAGATCCCCAGCGGTTTTAGAGCAGGCTTCTGCGCCATAATGGCAACGCTGCGGTTGGGGGTTTAGGGGTTTAGGGTTTAGGGGTTTAGGGGTTTAGGGGTCTAGGGTTTAGGGGTGGGTTTGATGGCTTAGGGTGCAGCAGCTTCTGACGATCGCTTTTCCGCAGGCCAATGCGAAAAACGAAGCAGCAGCGCTGCCTAAGTGAGATTTCAGTCGAGGGGGCTTGGGGAGTTTTCTTGTTGAATGAACTTGTGATTGACTGCGAACTTTGTGAAAACAAGTATAGAAAGTGCAGCTTTCATCGTTGTGAGGTTGATGGTATGGAGTGTTCCGTTCCAGGGTTTTGTTTCCTTGTTTGGTGTACCACTGGGTCGGCGAAGCCATCGAAGTGCTGCCTTTTTAAAGCTTCTGGGACCCGATTCCCTACATGTCCCCTAGACCATCCAAGGCCTATCAGGTTCCAGGGTGGTCTTCGGGTCTAGGGTTTAGGGTTTAGGGTTTAGGGTTTTAGGGTTTAGGGTCTAGGGTCAAGGGTGTAGTGAGTCCAATGCTCGTCGTGTGCCTCCTTTGTTGCGTTGCGTTTGCGGCTCCTGCTATTGTGGTGCCACTTCTCCAACGCCTAACCCCCAAGGCTTCCCAAACTCGCCGCAGTCGGTTTGTTCGAGAATTTTTGTTTGTGCTTGAAAGTTTCTTTCTGGTTTTCGTTTTTGTTTGATAGCATTGACTATAGTTTTCTTGGTCATTTTCGTAAGGATATTGATGGAGCATGTCATACTGCTTTATTAAATACGTATGTCTATATTTACATTTAAATTTTCCGATTTAGCATAAATTTGGCATTTTTACTACACTCGGATTTATCTTGGGAAATTCTTTGTACGATTTGACAGATCTAATCGACTATCTCTCTCTCTCTATTTGCTGTTCGGTCGTTTTCTTCTGCAAAGAGCTCCAAACCAAATGGTGTCTACCTATGGTGGGGCATGTCATCGATCTTATTCGAGTCTGGGTACGTGACTATAGACCATTCAGATACCCTTCTCTCTGCCCAGTAAGATCGCCCGGCAGCGATTACAGTTTGGGTGGCGCTCGCGCCCAAGGCTCACGCGCCCACTTCACTCGTCGTCACCGTGTCTTCGCGGGGCCGGAGCAGTTGCAGAGCATCACTGTCTGCCAGGAAGAAGCTGCAAGCTCCATGGGAGCTCCGTAAAAGCCAGTAGTCAACTCCCCCAAATCCCGGATCAGTAACATAGAGTCTTTTGTTCTTCGTCTTTGGGCTTCGACATGTTGAGATTGCTTCAAAAGGACACCCAAATCCTAAAAACCTCGCAGCGTCTCGGAGCCTTCTTGACGGTAGCGAAGTTCTTCGTCGAGGAGAAATCCTCCAAGCTTCTTGGCTGCATGTTGGGGTCGCAAGTCTCTTGGTTGAAGCCATGGTCCGTTGTGAGGCATACCGTCTACATAGCTAACGCCGACATGGCACCACTGCAAGCCAGAAAAGTCCTCTAAACGTCCAGTCGGCACGTAGGCTGGGCACTGACGTCAGCTAAGGTGTATCCGGGCGTTTCTGTCGCCATGACAGAGTCGGATGATGTGGACAACATGACGGAAGGCAAGTATGCCCCTCCTCGTGATTAGCTGGCATCCGCTGTGGCCTTCAAAACGCTTCGCCCTAGGGTCCTTGTGATTAGCTCATCTTTTTGAGCTGCGTTGGGGTTATATGTGGCCTTACCCGACTGTGAAGCTTTGGACCCCTCAACCCTCAAAATCCCAAAATCGAGCCCCTCTGCCCTAAACCCCTTCAGCTTCCTAAGCCCGTCCCCAAATCCCCATCTAAACAAAAGCCCTGTGCCCGAAATGCCTCGAAGCCCGACGCTGCTGTCAAGGCCTTCCACGAGGGGTTCAGTATAGGGTAGATATAGGGATAGAAGGGTTTCTGCAGAGTTTTGGTTTAGGGGTTTATATAGGGTTGCTGGGATAAATGAAGGGTCCTAAAGGGTTTGTATGGTTTTTTCTTCCGGATTTATAAACACTCGCTGTTATAGGAGGCTTGGGGTCCGGGGCGCAGAGAGTTGACGTGAGGTGTTTCTGTATAGAGGGTGTCATGAAGGGTCCATATTGGGTTTAAGGGGGGGAAGGTTTGGGGTTTTGGGTTTTGGTTTCGGGTTTTGAGGCTTCCTTGAAGGTTTTGGGGCCTCAGCCCTTTTGCGGGTGCAAAGAAGACTTGTACATCTTCAGCGCGAAGCATAACGAACACACTGAGCCCTAAGCCCTCAACCCAGCCCTAAGCTCCAAGGTCTACTGGATGGACCAAGATAGCGACGTCCCGCGGGGCCACCTCGGCGAGGCACCCTCGGATTATTGCATCGCGTTTTTGTTGTTTGTTGGTTTGAGTTTGCTGATTGTGGATTTGACTTGGGTTGAGGGCCTCCCTTTGTTAGCTGGGCCGGAAATGGTTTAGGGTGTAGGAGTGCGTGGGGGCGGTTGGGGTTTAGGCCCTCCGCGTTCGTGACACCCGTCTAAAGCCCAAACTTCTTCACGTGCTTTGAAGCCTTACGCCAGGGCTGCAGGTTTAGACTTCAGGCTTTGCGAGTGGGAATATGTCAGGTGTCTGCGTGCTGTAGCCGTTCAACCCTCAGCCCGACCCTAGAACCCAAGACCCCAAACCCCGGAAGCCGCAAACCCTTAGCCCAGGATGTCAAACCTTGCAAGCCCCAGAGCCCCCAAACCCCCAAAACTCTGTGAAACTTGGGGCTCCTGCGAGCATGAAAGGATCTCTCGAGGCCCCTAGATTCGGTCATGTTTGCTCCGCAGCCCGCGTGCAGGTGGCGATGTTTGTAGGGTTTGGGGTTCAGGGCTTCAGAGCTTCAGGGCTTCGGGGCTTCGGGATTTCAGATGTGTGTGTGTGTGTGTGTGTGTGTGTGTGTGTGCCTTTTTGTTTTGTGGGTTGAGGGTTTAGAGTTTTGGTCCAGCTGATTGCCTCCCAGGCTTTATAAACCCCAAAGCTTCAGCCCCAAACCCTGAACCCCAATAAGCACCCAAGCTCGCCCAAAACTGCTCAAAACTTTCCTCGGCCTTTCTCCGGGCGCAGGTGGTGGAAGTCCTGGAAGAGGATGGGAAGCGAAGGGTCCAGTTTCCGCAAGGCAGGTGGAAATTAAAGGCCGACGGGCGACTCAGCTGCAAGTTCCGGGCCGTGAAGGGATATTGTCGGGGGGAAGTTTTAGGGCTTTCGTTTTTTTTTTTTCCTCCTGGGGTTTAGGCCAAGCCACGGCACCTTAGGGGGTTTGGGGTCATTCGGGCCTTGTGCCTTGGGGCTTTGGGGTTTTGGGGTTTGTGGCGGGCCTAGGATGCCCAGTAGTGCCCTTATTCCCTTCTTGGGGGGGGTTTAGGTTCCCTTATAAACCCCTTTAAGCAAAATAGGGCACCCGTTTTAAGCCTAGGTAAATGGGCAGCCTAGAGGCTTGGGTTTAGGGCACAGGGCTTCTGAAGCTGCGGAGATTGCAGGCGATTGAACATGGGTCTGCAGGCAGTGTCCTGGTTTGTGCTTCAATGCTTAAAACAGTAGGTAGCCTCCAAAAGTGGTTTCTAAGCCCAAGCCCTAGAGCTTATAAGCCCTAAGCTTCACACAAGGCTGAACGTCTCCGACTTGCAGAAGGGCACCTTCGTGCATTCCACGAGCGACGATTACGATTTCGACCCGCGAGTTACATGAGAGTTCAACCAGAGGTTGTTTTGTTTGGTAAAACCTGCCAAGCTCGCCACACCTCCAAGCACTGAAACTCCAAACCTGTTATTTTGCTTTCTTATCTTTTCCCAATCTTGGGTCACCATCTGAACCTTAAAGCACAAGTGGTCGTGTTTGATATTTCCACTTTCTGAGCTATGGGCAACCACCAAAAGGAAACCCAACCCTTAGAGGCCCCAAGCCCCAAAACCCCAAACTACGCTAGTGCCAAACCCTCAATCCCCCCCCCCCCCCCCCAAACCCTCATCCCCAAGCACCCAAAGACCCTTCTACGCCCCTCAGCGTAAACCTCCAGAGCCGAGGATGTCATCGGGGAGATTCTCGACTTGGATGATGGCAAGCTGATCGTTGAGATCAAGGGCGAGAAGGCAGTGGAGGGGGGGGGGGGGGTCTTCCCAAGGAGTCTAAGTCTTGTAGTTTTTGAAGGAATGTTTACAACGGCTTATGCATGTTTATGAGGGCCTAAGTCTGGGCTTGCAGTTTCTAAGGTTTTTCTAATGGCTCTTAGGGGCTTTCATTTTTGTCAGAGCTTAGGGCTTGTATTTTTCTTTGCCTAGAGCGGCCTAGGTTTTGTATCAGCCTTTCACGCAATCCCTTAAACCCTCAGCCCCCTAAAAACCAGGATGGTTCAGGTCTGGGCTCAACAAAAACCCTAAACCCTAAACCCTAAACCCTAAACCCTAAACCCTGAACCCTGAACCCTAAACCCTAAACCCTAAACTGTTGTGCCATGGGTCCCAGGCTTCGGAGCCTCGAGGAATAGTCGAGGTGTGTTTTTGGGGTTAGGGTTCCAGGTTTATTTTCAGTGGGGATTAGGGTTTAGGGTTTCGGGTTTAGGGTTCCAGGTTTATTTTCAGTGGGGATTTTTAGTGCTTCTTCGGCTTCAGGATCTTTGGCACGCAAGGCATTGTGCACTGGAGTATCCTTTCGTGAGCTCTGCAAAGACCGCTCAAAGTCGCCATTCGAAGCAGAACTGACCTTGAACATGCTGCCCAGCGACTCGATCCCCAAGCTTCTGAAGCCCGATAGGCCCGATAGGCCTACTGGGTTTGAGGTCTATGAAGCTCTATGTGATACATGCGCAAGCATCCACCCCCCCACCCCCCCCCCGCCCTCCCCATTCCACCATGGCATCCCTGGCTTTGGGTTCCCTGCGCTCCCCTGGCCCTGTGGTTCGCGGTCTGCAGTTCATGGTGGGTTGAGGGTCGAGGTAGGGCTAGGCTTTACGGTTGGGTTCGGGTTTGGTTGAGGGTTTTGGTATCCCCCCCCACCCCCCCCCCGCCCCCCCCGGGGGTTTAGGGTTAAGAGTTTCCCCCCTCCTCACCCCCCTGTGGCTCACGGTCTCTTAAACCCTAAACCCTAGCCCCCAAAACTCTGGGGGCGGAAGGTCAAGCAGAAGCCGAAGAAGCTGGTGAAGTGTGACTTCCAGCCTGGCATGTATGCCCCTTGGCTTTGGGGAGGTTGAAGGGTTTGAAGGGTGAAGGACGGGTTTGAAGGGTTTGAAGTGTTTTGAAGTGTTTTGAAGTGTTTTGAAGGGTTTGAAGGGTTTGAAGGGTTCAATGTTGTTTGAGGTTTGAGGGCCATTTTGAGGCCTGCAACACTTTTGCAAGTGGGGGGGGGGGGGGGGGGGGGGATGCCTTCCGGCCTCCCGCAGTAGCACCATCAAAGCCAATGCCGACTCCTTGAATTGAAAGGCCGAGGTTTCCGAGCGTAGGCAGAGATGGGCAGTTTCCGCCTTTACTGAGACAGGGTGAGATCTCCCCAGGTATTCTGGACGAGATCCGACGATGACATCCCAGCGGGACACATCGGCACAGCCGCCGGGCCTGAGGATAGTCAACCCTATGCTTCTGCAGCTGCCCTCAATCCCTCAACTCGAAGCCCTCACCTTAACAGCCTAAAGCCTACGCCGTCTGAAATCCTGACCCTCAAGGCACCCCAGGTGCTCCCTAAACCCGAAGCCCCCTAAAGCCCGAAGCCCAAGAAGTTCCGAGCCCGGAAGCATGGGGCTCCCCAGGTCTTGGGGGACCTGAACGATGAAGGCAGGGTGAAGGCCTGTGGAGTTCCGGATCTCTTCCTCGTTCTTACAAGGGTTTCAGGGTTTGTGGGGTTTCAGGGTTTCAGGGCTTGTAGGGTTTCAGGGTTTGTAGGGTTTCAGGGTTTGTAGGGTTTCAGGGTTTCCGGGTTTGTAGGGTTTCAGGGTTTCAGGGTTTCAGGGTTTCAGGGTTTCAGGGTTTCAGGGTGTCAGGGTTTCAGGGTTTCAGGGTTTGTAGGGTTTCAGGGTTTGCAGGGTTTCAGGGTTTCAGGGTTTGTAGGGTTTCAGGGTTTGTAGGGTTTCAGGGTTTCAGGGTTTCAGGGTTTCAGGGTTTCAGGGTTTCAGGGTTTCAGGGTTTCAGGGTTTCAGGGTTTCAGGGTTTCAGGGTTTAGGGTTTAGGATGTATTTTCGAAGGGGACTAAGTGCTCGCGGACTAGGGCTAGGGGCGGGGGCGATTGGGGTGGAGGTGAAAGAAGTCGAGGTGCTCAGGGGGTGCTGCTTCTAAGGGCCAACGTGGCCCAACCGGTTTGGGATCTTTTGTGTTTTAGGTCAGTTTGGGGTCGATCAAGCAAAAACTCAGAAGCAACTGGCCTGCGAATCTGAAACGGCGAATCAGAAACCAGCACGTTTCAGAAACTGGAAAAATGAAACCCGCGCGAATCAGAAACTGCGCATCAGAAATCCGCGCGAATCAGGAACAGCGCATCAGGAACTGCGGAGCAGGAAACCTGCTGGATGCGGGGGGGGGGGGGACGACAGAAGACTCTGCGCTCAGACGTCATGGGGCGGGAGTGGGGTGGGGGGGTGGGGGTTTGCCAAGACATGAAAAACAAAGGAGAGAAGTTTAGGGCTAGAAAATTGAAAGTTTGGGGTAGTGGGTCTTGGGTTGCTGAATCATCCGTTTCATGGTTTCCGATTTTCCGAATTCGGTTTCCGACTCAGCCGTCCTGGTTTCTGATTCAGCCGCTGTGGTTTCCGGTTTCGCCGTTCTGGTGTCCATTTTTGTCGTCGACCGTTTAGGGTCACCGTCAACCCGCAAACCCCTGAACGCAAAAACCCAGGTTGAGGGCTTTTCGGGTGTGGGATGAGAGTTCAGCTTCTGCTAGAGCAGAGGCCGAAAAACTTTGGGACCTCAGCGCGTAGGGATGCGTAGGGCTTGGTGCGTTTAAGGGGCTAATTTCGGCTTCAAGGCTGGAGGATGCGGGTTTGCGGTTGAAGGTGTGTTTGGGGTCGAAGTATTCGGATTTAGGTCTTTGGAGCCTTTGGAGCTTGGCATTTTCTGGGTTCGTACTTGGAGCTTTCGGGTGTGGGGTTGAAGGATTCGGGGTTGGGTTTAAGGCCTGCTTCTTGGTTCTCGATTGGGAATGCGTGAATTGCTGACCTTCACCCCGAAGAGCCCTAGACCACCACCGTAAAGTCCCCAAATCAGACGTAGACCTATGCAACTCCCGAACCCTGTACAATCCCCAATACCCGAACCCGCACGAGGTCAAGTTCCCCAACGGTTGCTGGCGCTTTAGACCGCGGGAGATGGCTCCTTGGCGGTTAGGGTTTAGGGTTTAGGGTTTAGGGTTCAGGGTTCAGGGTCTATGTAGGACTATAAGGGTTGAGGGTTTAGGGGGTTGAGCCGGTTGAGGGGGTTCAGGGGGTTGAGGCCTTGGGGTGAGGGTTTCGTAGGATGATAATTGCAGGGTTTAGGGTTCGGGCTTCAGGGTGGAGTGGCCTGAGGTGCTCCTCATGTGGGTTTCCTCAGGTGCCAAGCCCTGAAGTTATGAACCCTGAACCCTATGCACTCGCGCTAAAATCACGATGGATGGTGGAAGATCCCCTGCTTACTTGCAGAAGCACACGGGTGCCTGCTTTGAAGCCCCAAGAACTTCGAAAGCAATGGTAGGAGAATGCTTCACAAGCTAGTGCTGTCGGATGGCGGATTGAGTTAAATCGCCCTAATCTTGAAACCCAATATTCCGAAACCCCTATATGTTCCCCTAATCGCCAAAAATCCCGAACCCTGAATTCTAAACTACTCCTCGAGCTGGAGGTGCGCTGTCACATCCAGCACAATTCCTACGTGCAATGGAAGAACCACGACGATGACATCGCGAAAGGGGAGATTGGGCAGGTCGTCGGCTCTCTGAACGACGAGGGCAAGGTGGGGGTATCTTCTAGGTGGGTTACACATGATGAGCCCTTTTTGGGGTTGCCTTGTTTTTGGGCTGAATACCTTTTCTAATGTGGTTCTAGGCAGGACTGTCAGGGAGGTTTGTGGTCTGGTTATTCGGAGTTATATTGAGGCAGGGCATACTTGACGGAAGTTCTGCCATTGTGCGCGGATTATCACGCTCCTGCTCCATGGTAACTGTAGACTCGCCGTTCTGCCGAAGAGGTGGCGAAGAACAGGAGCAACACCCTAAGCCCCTTGAGCTTTGTGAACTTGGGTGGCCTGTGTCAACCTGAGACCCGAAGCCCGAAACCCTGAAACATAAAGCAAAGAGGGACAGGAGCTTCAGTTCACCGGGCATCTTGTGTGAACTCTGACCGTTTTTGCAAGGTATGGATTGGGTTTTTGAGACTCTGTGACGGGCGTTCGGGTTCAGGGTTGGTTTAGGGTACTACTAACAGCCCCGAATTCCCCAGTCGATCCGCTTCAACCCCCTGAACCTCCAACCCTAAGCCCCACACTTCCCGCGCCCCCCCGCCCCCCGCCCCAAACTGCCCATAACTCCTAAACCCCAAATAAAATTTCTCGACTCCTCCCACCGATATACTTCCTCCAAAACCCCGAGACCAACCAGAAACCCTATTCCCAAAGCCAAACGCTCTGAACTCTACCCCCCAAGCCTCCTACACGCTAGACCCAGAACCACTTCCCCGAAACCCCCAAAATGAATCCCTAACTCTGAGCCCCCCTGAATCTCGTACCTTAAACACCGAAACCCCCAAAAAGAACCCTTCACGCCCAACGCCCTCCCTAACCCCTAACCCCTAAACCCTAAACCCTAAACCCTAAACCCTAAACCCTAAACCCTAAACCCTAAACCCTAAACCCTAAAGCCTAAAGCCTAAAGCCTAAAGCCTAAAGCCTAAAGCCTAAAGCCTAAAGCCTAAAGCCTAAAGCCTAAACCCTAAACCCTAAACCCTAAACCCTAAACCCTAAACCCTAAACCCAGAACCCAAAACCCAAAACCCAAACCCTAACTCTGAGCCTCCGCAGGTCAAGGTCCAGTTTGCCAAGGGTTGCTGGCGGTTCGCTCCGGAGGCCCGAAACCCCTTGAAGCTCAACCCCTGAGAGCCTCTAAACCCGAAACCCTAAACCCTCAAGGGTTTAGGGTTTAGGGTTTAGGGTTTAGGGTTCAGGGTTCAGGGTTTAGGGTTTAGGGTTTAGGGCCTCGGCCCTGAAGCCCACACCCTGAAGCCTGGGACTTTTATGGGTTCAGGGTTTAGGGTTTAGGGCTCGGGACTTAGGGTTTAGGGTTTAGGGTTTCGGGTTTAGGGTTTAGGGTTTAGGCTTGTTGCGGGTTTGCGTTTGGGGCGTTGAGGGCTTTGAGGGTTTTCGTCTTTTTTCTAAGTTTTTTTTGGGGTTAAGGGCTGTGTGGTTAGGTGCGGGTTGAGAGGTTTGGGGATGTAGGATTTAGGTTGACAGGTAGGTCCTGGGGTTTGGGTGCTTAGGGTCCTGAAGGTTGACGCCTTTCGTGGCTGAGCGTTTAGGGGTTAGGTTCGGGGTTTCGTTTAGGAGTTTAAACCCTAAACCCTAAGCCCTAAGCCCTAAACCCTAAACCCTAAACCCTCGTGCTTCGGCCCAGACGCTGTTCGCGCACGAAATGCAGCTCGGCTCCTTCGTGACCTGGTCGAGCCACGACGATGATGTTCCGAAAGGCTTCCCCGAAAGCCCCTTGTGCCCTAACCGCGGAACCAGATGAAGTTGGGGTTTAGGGGTTTGGGGGTTCAGGGTTTAGGGGTATTCGGATGTTGCTTTCTTGGGAGTGAAGTTCAACAGTCAGCGAAAAGGGTCCGAATGGTACGATGTGTCGCAAGCCTGATTGGATGGCCACGTCGTAGGTGTTACGGTCGTGCAGTCGCCAGATTCCGCATGGACTCCGAAGAGTTCCCAACCAAAAAAGCCCCAAAAGGAGCCAGCGGCAAAACCAAAAGCCCTGCAGCAGGAAGCCCAGTGCCCTGAGCCCTCAATCCGTTAAACGGGTTTCAGCCATGGGATTGATAAGCCCCATCAAAAGCCTAAGCCCAAAAAACAAACCTGAAGCTTCCTGAGAAAGCCTTGGGCGCAAAACCAACTGCCCTCTCCCCACGTACCAGGTCCAGTATGCACGGATGCTGGGCTCGCGCTGATCCACATGAGTGACTCCCCCCCCCCCCCGCTCCCCGCCCTGTCTTTGGGAGGCGATGTGGGCCGGGTGATCGGCATCAAGCCGGATGAGGGCCGGCTGAGGGTACAATTTCCTAAGGGCACCTTGGTGGGCTGATCTGAGATCAGGGTTCAGGGGTCAATGTCCAGGATAATTGTGACGAGTGTCGACAGTTTCCATGGCCAACTTAGCACGCAGCACCATTCAGGAGAATGGAAACCAACCTTAACCTCTACTGACTCCACTCGTAGATACTTCACCCCCCCTCAAAAAAAACACAGTATGAAGAAACCAACAATGCCCCCCTCCCTCCCCTGAACAAACACAAAAAAAGAACCGAAAACCCCAAATCCTTATAAGCCTTAAGACCTAAACCCTAAACCCTAAACCCTAACCCCAAAGAAGCCTGTAGCCCGAAGCCATGAAGGCCGAACCTCAATCGTGCTGATCGGCTTCTGCCGGGCGTAGGCAGCCCCATCGAGCATCCAGAACCCCCAAGCTTCACCTTGGGAACTTCCCAAAGCCACCTGTACAAGACATTACACCACACCCTGTAGCTACCCGATGTGAGAGCCATCCTGTTTCGTTTTCGGGTAGATCGGAGAGGCAGTTGCTCGAGTTGTGGGCGCTCCTGGGATGCTGTGCGGGACTCTTTTTGAGTCTCCCCCCCCCAAGGGGGGGGGGGGGAACTCCAAGGCTACGCCCTCCTCTGATCCTGGGCACTCTATGGATACTCGGGGGGGGGGGGCCCCCTGCGAGCTTCTCTGCACTCCATAAGACCACTGTTTGGCGTGGGGCTCTCTGTGGGATTCTCTGGGCAGTCCAGGGGACCCGGCCAGGAGACGAGGCGAGGAGAGAAGGGTTGACTTAAGACTAACAACCTGGCACCCCGGACAATGGGAGACAGATTTTAAAAACGAAAGTTCACCCTGTGCCCTGTGCCCTGTGCCCTGTGCCCTGTGCCCCGTGCCCTGTGCCCTGTGCCCTGTGCCCCGTTGCCCTGTGCCCTGTGCCCTATGCCCTATGCCCAAAGCCCTATGCCCTGAGAACCCTATGCCCGATCAGCTAAACCCTAAACCCTAAACCCTAAACCCTAAACCCTAAACCCTAAACCCTAACCCCTAAACCCTAAACCCTAAACCCTAAACCCTAAACCCTAAACCCTAAACCCTAAACCCTAACCCCTAAACCCTAAACCCTAAACCCTAAACCCTAAACCCTAAATCCTAAATCCTAAACCCTAAACAACCTTGAGGCACTTGGACTTTCAAGGCCAACAAGCTGAAGTTGCACCACGTGCAGCCAGGGATGCAACTCGCCAGCCTCCAGTTGCACACCGGTTTAGGGTTTAGGGTTTAGGGTTTGGGGTTTAGGGTTTGGGGTTTAGGGTTTAGGGGTTGTGGTCCTAACGTTGAGTTTTCATTGGCCCCGCCAGATTCGCAGTCGTTCTCTAAACGAGGGTTTTTCTTGGGGGCATGACTCGGGCCCCATAGATTGGGTTGCTATTAACTTGAAAAAGCATCTTCCTTGTTGTTTAGGGTCCCGGAATCCCTAACCTCCAAACCCCTATGCCCCTAAACCCCAACCCCCCCCCCCCCCCCCAACCGCTGAAACCCTAAGCCGTGAGCCCTCTTACGATGCAAAACTCTCCAAAACCTCTTCAGCTTCCTGAGGTTTGTCCATTGGACGCACAGCGACGATGACATCCCGCGCGGGTCCATTGGCCGCTTGGTCGCAAGACATGCGGTTCGTATGGTTTAAGGGGTTTCGAGTCTATCATGGGATCTTGTACGCCTCCCACCTTACAGGGGTGCGTAAGGTTGAGGGTTTGTTGAGGGTTTGTTTAGGGTATTGAGTTCCGGGTTCATGTATAGGGCTTGGGGGTTTTTCCAGTTGCCGGGTTTCGGGTATCCCTAAACCCCTCCTGAGAGAGGCCCGCGGGCTCCCGCTCCCAGCTTGCGAACCTAAAGCCCAAAACCCTAAGCCATGGAAGCGTAGTATAGCCCTGCATGGTTTCAATGAGCATCCTGGGTACGAAGCTCCTAACCCCAAACTTTTTTTTTAAGGCATCCCTTGCGGCCATGTGAGCTCGGGTTTCTGGCTTATCGGGTTGTAGGGTTGAGGGTTCAGGCTGGAGGGTTTAGGGCCCAGGGTTTCGGGTGCAGAAGCGAAAGGTGCATTGGTTGAATCTGGGGGCTTCCTGACCTCTGGGAGGCTTTTGCCTTATGCCGCCTTTGGTCTATAAGGAGCTGGAAGCCTCCAAATGGGAAGTGAACGGCACATCGACTCACTGTGGGACGTTCCTGGGGTCCTCCCCCGCCTTGGCGATCATGCCTCGGGCGTTTTGTAGAGGCTTGGTGCCCTTGTCTCGGGCCCTAGACAAGGCCAAACCCCTGAAACCTGGTTTCAGGGTGGGAGTTGAAACACAAAGGCAGGGCAGAGCCTAGTGTTCAGAAACCCTAAACCCTAAACCCTAAACCTTAAACCCTAGACCCTGGCCCCCTAAACCCTAAACCCTAAACCCTTAACCCGTATCCCTCAACCCTTAACCCTTTAACCCTCAAACCCTAAACACCAAACCCTCAACCCTAACCGTAAACCCTAAGCCCAGAGGCGAAGTGGTCCGCATGAGGGACAAGAAGAACCGCGTGGGTGTGCAGTGGCCACAGGGCCAATGGGGAGCCCCAGAGGCAGTGTAAGTAGGGTTTTCAGGGTTGAGGCTTTTTAGGGTTTTCGGGGTTTGCAGGGTATAGGGGCCTAAATGATGACCGAAAGTCTCTCTTTGTCAGAAGTCTAGCAGAATTCTTGCATGGGTCACCCCAAGAGTGCATGAGGCGTCTGCAAAACCCAACACTTAGGGGCTTTTAGGCTGTTGTGGTTTGAAGAGCCCACGGAAGGGAGGCCCTTAAGCACCCAACAAAAAAACCTGATCGAGTTTCTCCCAAATCCTCAATGTTTCCGGGCCCACATCCGTATCCCCCCCCCTCAAGCTCCCAAGCACCACCAAAACTTAAACCTGAACGGCAAGTTGTACCCAAACTCAAACGTCTCCTCAGCCCCCAGCCCAGATCCAAGCCCGGGGCCGTTTCAAGCCCAGTTTGAGGGCCACAGGGTTTCGGGGTTTAGGTCTTGGAGGTTTTAGGGTTTAGGGTCTTTGGGTTTAGGGTTTAGGGGAGGCTTTGCACACCTATGCAGCAAGGCTTTGTGGGTAAAGTGGGTACGTCGTTCATTGAAGACTTAAGGATTTCTCGGGTTGACGGCCTAGGAATTTCGGACCCTTAAATCCCCACTATCTGAAAGAACAGCTCTGAAACCCAAAGCAAACCTTGGCTCCGAAACTGCCGATTGATGGATTGCTGCATGAGTGAATAAAGTGAGCGAGTGAGAGTGGACCTGTGCGGCCTGCCGCCCACGTCCCTCTCAACTTCTCAGGGGGGCTCCGCAGGCCTCATCGCCCCCCCGTCTGCAGGGGGGGAGACTTAGCTCATGCACAGAGAGGGACGGGAAACACAACAATAAGAACCAGCAGTGCCGTGATCATACCCATCATCATCAAGCCCCACGAGGAGCAAGATTTGAGGAGCCCCAAACACCTGATGAGGAGTAAGAGTTGCTTTCGTGTTGCGGCCGCTAAGAGCTGCGGAAAGCTTCTTTTGCATGCCACATGCCACCCAAAATCGACTCGTGTGCCAAGCACAAAGAGAGCACGACGCTCGAGTGCCTAGCGCGCACGAGAATTCAGATGCTCCCAACTCCAGATGTCCATGTAACGTCATAGTGAAAGGTCATTAAGTCGCCCTAGTGTTGGGAGGGGGGGGGACGTGCTCATCGACTCATCGGGACCCTTAGCACCGCCTCGCAGTCCACCCTGGCAGCCCAGTAGGTCTGGGGCCCCTTCTTCTGGTAATGCGCACTTCGTCCTGTGGAAGGCTGCCCCCTGAACTACCAAGAAGATGCTAGAAGATGAGCCGCTTGGGTTTAGGTTTAGGAGACTGCTCCCCAACTGAGTGGCAAAACCAAGACGGCTGAGAACCCCTTTGAACTCCCGGGCCGGAGAAACGTTCTGCTCTACCCCCCAGAGCCTTGCACCCCAAACTGTAATAACCCTCAACGGCCCCAGGTATCAAGCCAAAAGAATTGAAAGTGCTGCCCTTCCAAAAGAGTGACCGGGTGCAGTGGACAACCTCCGATGACGACATTCCCGAAGGCCGAAAGGGATGTTTCGAGGGGTGCGGGCGCTGCGTGGTTTAAGATGCCAGCGTCGCTTAGAGCCCTACATAAGCCCTAGGCCCGAAACCCTAAGTCCTAAAACCGTATAGGCCCTTTCACAGGAAACCCCAAGCCAGGGTTTTTGGTAGGCTTCGACGTTTGGGATGCTCTTGTACGCTTTCAGGTTTAGGATTAAGGTTCAGGGCTTAGGGTTTAGGGTTTAGGGTTTAGGGTTTAGGGTTTAGGGTTTAGGGTTTAGGGGTTTAAGTTTCAGAGCTTCAGTTTCAGGGCTTGGGGTCCAAGGTTTTGGGTTCAGGGGTTTAGTTTTTAGGGTGCGAAACTTTCCTGAAAGAATCCCAAGCACCCTTTTTTTGCTTCACCAGAGCCAGTCAGCATGGGTTCTTGACCCCTAAGATAAAACATAGCAGTTTAGAGTTTGGGCTGTGTTTAGGGTTTTCGGCGTTTTGGCGTTTAGGAATTTCGGCCCAACGCTGTCCCTCGACAGGAGACCTGGGTATCGTGATGGGCATCTCATACGAGGACCCTCACCAGAAACTGAAGTTTGAAGTTTGGTGTAGAGTTTCCGAGTTCTGCTGAGTTCATTCCCCAACTTTCTTCTACCATAAAACACCTACTTGGGCAAATGTCTTCCAACTTGCGATCGAGGTGCAAGGTATGTTTGCTGGAAGGTGGCCTGACTGTAGCATTTGGGAAACTGCGGCAGTTTGGTTTAGTGTAGCATTTTCGGGGAGCAGTCCTGGTCAGGATTTAGTGTAGAAGTGTAAGTACTCCAAAGCCCACAAGCCCCATACAAGGAGGACGGGACTGCGACCAGGCTTTCCGTGAAGTGGACGAAGGGCAGGCGCATGGGGACGTTTGCCAGAAAGCGCGCTTGGCCATGCTGTGCCAAAACAAACGCCCACTTTGACCCTGAAACCCAAAACCGAAACCTCGAACCCTAAACTCCTAAACCCACCCTAAGCCCTAAACCCTGAACCCCAAACCCTAAGCCCTAAACCCTTAAACAAAAAAACCAGCTCAAGACCTTCGAAGCCTCCGAAGTTTTCGGCCCCATGGTCCGAAGTCCCGTTTCGGCCAGGTGGGCCATGAAAGTCGGGCAGTTGAAGCTTGGCTGGGGAGATTTAGGGAGCTTTGGGGGGGTGGGGGGGGGGGGTGGGGCTGTGGGAGTTCCCCTCCTACATCCTTGGGCCCTGAGCCCTGAACCCTCAGCGCTAAACTGAACCCCCAGGGTGCTTTTCGGTGGGGGCGCACGTGCTGCAAGGTGTTTTTGGGGAGATGGCTTCAACTTCTTTGTCTTGAGAGGTTGAGGCTCTTGAGTTCAGTGCGTGATGCTGGTCGCGACCTCTCTGTGTTAGACGAAACCCTCCTAGTCCAGCCTGTGTTGCTTGAGTCGGCGCCACGTATGTATTCATCCATTCATCTGCCTGTCGGAGCCTCGAAACCCTTTACGCCCTGAAAGCCCTAAACGCCTCGAAGCCATGAACACCAGCTGCACAGCCTAGGAAGGCCAGCAACCTCGATGCAGATAGCATCAACCAGCTCAAGGCGCCCCAAGTGTCTGGTTCTTGGTAGGGAGGGGGTTGATTTTAGGGTTTTAGGGTTTACGCGGTTTAGGGTTTTAGGGCTTAGGGTTTTAAGATTTCGGGTTTAGGGTCCTAGGGTTTTAGGGTTTAAGGGTTTTCGATGTTAGGGCTTCGGGATTAGCTAGGGAAACTAGCACGCTTTTTTGTTTGAGGGTTTTGGGTGCTCGTAGACGGAATAGAAATGCTAATCATACCCACCACCGTTACGTAGAATTTATACTTGTTATCTTTTTTTTATGGGGGCGGCGTGTGGAGGGGGGGTGCAGTGCACAACCCAAAACCCCAAACTTGTTGAGATATTCTTATCAACTTCCTGAGAGAGTCAGGTAGGGTTTACAGGGCCTGCTAAGCTAGCTCCTTAACCCCGAGCACGAACCCCACCCTGTACCCAAACCCTACAGCCTCACTATCGATGGCTTGCCTGTGCCAGTCTACCTTCAAGCGCTTTGACAAGAATGGCGACGGAAAGCTGACAGTGGAGGTTCCTTGCCAACCGAACCCTCAACCCCAAACGCTGGTTCTGCCTTTTGACGATAAGCCTGGACCCGGCATGACCCGTAGAAGCAGGGGTTGTGAGGAGTGGAAGCAGTGCACGGCAGGGAGAGGGTCTTAGGCTCCCCCTCAAAACCTCTGCGTCCTTCGAACCTAATCACCTGATCCCTAGAAGCCGTGCAAGACGAGATTGAGCCAAGCGAAGGGCCCTACATACACCCAACTGGAGCAGAGCCCTGCCCCCAAGCCTCATAACTCTCAGCCGCATGCCCAAGCTTACTTTCTCTTCAAACTTCAAAGCCCTGACCCCTAAGACCCTGAAGCACAAATCCCAAAAGTCCCTACACCCCAAGTCTGTCAGATCCCCCCTCCCCCTCCCCCCTCCTCCCTCCCCTTTCGAACAAAGGAGCTCGCGAGCGTGCTGGGTCGACTCGGAGAGGGCGGGCTCAGCGAGGACGAATGCCAGAAGCTTGGCGCTTTTAGCTCCTTGGGGTTGTGCGGCGCAGGGGGGGGGGGGGGGGGCTATTTTTCAGGAGGCTGGAGGGGGGGGGGGTGTTTATGTGGAGGTTGTAGGCTGGTAGGGGCGTGCATGGTTGGGGTTGCTCGAATTTTCTGCCTTTTTGTTTGTTTGTCCTTCTGCTAGACAAACCCACGTGGAGCGAATGGACATAGTACTTTCATGATGGTTCCAAGAGGAGCATGGTGAGTCTCATCAGTCTTTTGGGGCGCTTCGGGGCCTGCAGGGCTTAGGGGCTTACAGGGTTTGGGTTTAGGGTCAAAAAATCCCATGCCAGGCAGCTCTTTGATTCCTTGGACAAGGACCCTGGGGGCCGTACAGCCTGTAAACCCCTATCAGCCCTAACCCCGAAACCCTTGACAGCAGAAGCAGGTCGCCAGTTTGCCTGCAGAGTGTTGTTCCGGGACCTTTAAGGAAGCCGATGTCCGCTGGTCCAGGGCTTAGGGCTTAGAGGGGTTCAGGCTTTCGCACCCAGGTTCCATATGACCCATACCTTCATCCCTGGAAGCCCGTGAGCTTCAACACTGGCAGGAAGCAATGCTCGATTGAATCTGGGGTTTAGGTCTCTCTCCCTGCAAAAAAAACCCTAAGCCCTAACCCCGTAAGTTTTTGAGCTAGGTTCGTGTTTCGCATGGTTGCCTGCAAGATCGGCTGCATGCACTGTAGCTAGAGCTCCCACCCGAATTCCAAAACCTCACAGCAGCAGCAACCCTGAAGCAGCTCTTTCAGCCAAGGATCGTAGGGCTTGGCGGTCTGCGGTTCTGGGTTTAGGGGGCTTTTGTGGACTAGGAGTTAGGCTTCACGGCTCAGAGTTCAGTGGGGTTTGGGGTTTAGAGGTTTTTGTGGTTTAAGGTGTCAATCCTCAGATTCCCTAATTCCCCAATCTCAGCCCTCAAGCCCTAAGTCCCTCATTTCCGGTTTTCAGGACTTAGTACACTACGAGGAAGCTGAGGGTATCAACCCCCGCAGGACTCTGACGGGAAATTGACTGCCAACGAGCGCTTTGGACCGCAGACCAGCCGCTGTCGTGATCTTAGGGTTTAGGATTGGGATGTTCACCCTTGTACGAAGAGTCCTTAGTAGGGATGATACTGGGGGGTAGTATCATCCCTATAGGACGGTTAGTATAAGGGGGAACATCCCAAGTTTAGGATTTAGGGGTCAGAGACAGAGATCTGAGATATCCGGTAGGCAGCTCAGAATGAATACTGCCAAAACCCTACATCTCGGACCAGCCCTGCAGGTTCTTGACTCCAGAAAGACGAGCCCTAAACACTAAACACACCAAAAAAGCAATCTAAAGCATATACACCCTATGAACCCTACAAAGCCCATGAGCCCCAACAGCACCATAAGCGCCTAATAAACGCCCTAGAAACCCTTGTGCCAGACCTGTAAAAACTCATCAACGCCCTATGAACCCGCCTGCACAAGGTTCATCGACTACATCTTTGGGGGCGAAGCCACGGGCTCCCAGCGGAAGCTCGGAGAAAACACGAGGTGAAACAACCCCTGTTTTGGGCTTCGGGTTTAGGGCTTGGGGTTCAATGCCCAGGGTTTAGGGTTTGGGGGGGTTTGGGTTTAGGCTTTAGGATGAAGAAAGCCCAAAGGGCTTGGGGGTTGTGGTGCTTTATTCTATGGCTTTGAAAAAAATAGCGAGAAAGTTAGAGACTCCCCAGAAGAGAACGACAAAAAGGGCCCCTACTAAAAAGGGCAATAGCCCAAACAATGTCAGGACCAAATACATGGTGTTGAAAGGTGCATGATGCCTTGGCATGGTCCCTTACCTTTCTCAGATGGTTCTGATGTATGGGCCCTTGGGTTGTACAGGGGAGTCAGGGCTCCCAAATTAGCGGACCATGCAAGAAGGTGGTCCCTTTCTCGGTGCCCTAACTTCCGGTTCCATGTTGCAATGGAACTCTCACAAGGCACCACCATTTCGAGAGCCCATGTAGGGTTTAGGGCTTAGGACTTAGGGCTGTGATCACTTTCCGCGAAATGGCCTCCTGCTTTCTAAATTGTAACAGCCCCTCATCCTGACAAAAACCAGGCCTGCAGCCCTCAGCGTCTAAACCTAAACAGACAGCCCTAAATGCCGCGCAAACCCTAAGCCCTGGACCTGAGACCTGAAGCCCGAAGTTCGACATCCTAAAGTTGAACCCCACTCCAAAATCACCCCCTAAACCTTAAACCCAAAACCCTTACCCCCCTAAACCCGAAAACCCTAAACCCTAAACCCTAAACCCTTAACCCTTAACCCTTAACCCTCAACCAAAAACCCTAAACCCTAAACCCTAAACCCTAAACCCTTAACCCTTAACCCTGAACCCTAAACCCTGAACCCTGAACCCTGAACCCTAAACCCTAAACCCTAAACCCTAAACCCTAAACCCTAAACCCTAAACTAAGTGAGGGGTTGCTTCCGTCGAGCGACAGACCCCGAACGCTCGGCCGAGGGCCTTACAGCCCGAGCGCCCAAGCGAAAAGAGAAACGGAAAGGTGAGGGTTAAGCCTCACCGTCTGTCCTGGACAGGCCAACGGACATCGGCCTTTTTTACGACAATGTCAGTACTCGGCTAAGGGATGGCCGGCACCCAGACCACCTTTAGCGTAGCTAAAGTAGAACCCCAAAGCGTAACCCTTTGCCTCTGGACGTGTTCAGGGTTTTGGGTTCAGGGTTTGCTGGGCCCCCCCTGCCGGGGGGCCCCCTGCCCTTGGCGGCTTGGATTCCTGGACCAGAGGGCCCGTGAGGGGGCGCAGGCAGGCCGGTTGGTCTGGGCCCCCCCCACTACCGGAGCAAGGGCGCTGCTCTGCCAAAGACCTGGAAGGGCCCGGGTTCAGGGCCAGAAGAAGGCCCCCGCGCCCAAGGGCCCCCGAGCCAAGGGGGCTGTACCATCAATGAAAAATTTTTTTAAACTGGAAGCCCCCAAGAGGCGCCAGAGCCACCAAAAGGCTTCAAAAGCTTCAAACGCAAAAATGCGATTTTTGAATATTGAAAACAATGGTTTTCGGCACCCCTGCCCGCAATAGAAATGTTGTTTTTTTGTACTGAAATCGATGGTTTTGGGCACCCCTCCATTTCACCCCAAAAGGACCAGGAAAGCCCCAGGAAGCCCCCAAATCAGCAAGGGCCTCTACGGGCTCTGACGTGCCGAAGGCCCGAAAGGGCCGAGGCTACCCCGAACCCCAGTTTAAACCCTAACATCGCAAAACCCTGCGAAGGCCTTCAAGCAAATAAGGGCCTCTACGGGCCCTAATGTGCCGAAGGCCCGAGGCTACCCCGAACCCCAGCTTGAACCCTCTCATTGGCGAAGAAAAATTACTAGGTTCACTGACCTTCAAATGAATAAAGGGCCTCTACGGGCCCTGACACGCCGAAGGTCCGAACAGGGCCGAGGCTACCCTCGACTCCAGCTTAAACCCCAACATCAACTTCAAAAAAGCAAGCATCGGTGCACAAGTAAAAGTCCATAAACCCCAAACCCTAATAGAGTATGGTTTGGGTGGCCGGGGTGGGTTGACGGGCAACGCGAGCGCGCGGCCCGGGGTGTTTCACACCCGAGCGCGCACCCTCCCCTGACACACCCTAAACCCTAAACCCTTAACCCTAAACCTTAAACCCTAAACCCTAAACCCTAAACCCTAAACCCTAAACCCTAAACCCTAAACCCTAAACCCTAAACCCTAAACCCTAAACCCTAAACCCTAAACCCTAAACCCTAAACCCTAAACCCTAAACCCTAAACCCTAAACCCTAAACCCTAAACCCTAAACCCTATACCCTATACCCTATACCCTATACCCTATACCCTATACCCTATACCCTATACCCTATACCCTATACCCTATACCCTATACCCTATACCCTATACCCTAAACCCTAAACCCGAAACCCTAAACCCTAAACCCTAAACCCTGTGCTAAGCTCAGCCGCGCACTTTAAGGAAGCTGCTGGGCGAAGGCTTTGGCCTGGAGGACCTGGTTGGCCACGACCTTAAAGCTGGGTTTTGGGGTATTGAGTCTTGGGGGTTCAGGCTGGGGTTTTGGGTTTTGGAGTTTTTTTGGGTTTAGGGTTTAGGGTTTTGGGTGTTGAGTGAACCCTTCAAACTTGAATACGCGAAACCCCAGCTCAAATGCTACCTCAACAAAGCTAAACCCCCAAAGCAGCTCAAACCCCAAACCCTGAAGGCAAAGTGCAAAACCTGAAGCAGAAACCTAAACCCTGAAACCAGCTAAAACCCCGAAACGAATACACTAACGCATAACCCTACACCCAAAGCCCTAAACCCCAAAAAAACCCGCTGAGGTTGATGCACCCATGACGAATTCTGTCTGTGTTGCAGGGAGCAGACAGAATAAAGAATGTCTGGGCGCTAGGTTTGAGACTCTTCTCGACAATGTGGTGGTGGTTGCCCGACGACACCCTCAGTAGAACACCCGGAACTCAGAATTGTCTTCTTTCATCGGCAATCGCTTCTTGAAGGATGCAGGATTCACTCGTCTACAGACGTAGGTTTTTCTGCAGATGGGCTTGCGATCGTTCTGGTATGAAAGTGGTTGCTTGTGGCTTTTGTATCTTGAACCTGCAAACCCGAAAGAAAAAGCACCTGATTGCGAAACTCTGAATCTGATGGCTCGGTCTTCAGGGACTTATGGGTTTCAGGGGCTCTCGTGAAGCATTCTCCGTCACCGAAGTTTTGGTTTCAAATAAAGCTCAGCTTCCGAAATCCTGTTGTGGTTTTATGCGTTTTAGGATGTAGGCCAGGCTCTTTGTAAGCTCGGCTTCCTCAACATTGTCAAGCGAGACCCCATTCGATTCAACGCAAGGAACGGGCGACCAGTCCGAGGAGGAAGAGGATGATGACAACCCCAACGACAGCAGTTCGCCACCGAGAAATGCAGAGCGGGCTCACAGAATTGGGCGCTCCCGAAATGGGTGTAGTTTAGGGTTTAGGGTTTAGGGTTTAGGGTTTAGGGTTTAGGGTTTAGGGTTTAGGGTTTAGGGTTTAGGGTTTAGGGTTTAGGGTTTAGGGTTTAGGGTTTAGGGTTTAGGGTTTAGGGTGGATTTCAGGTGCCTATATTCAGCATTGTAAGTTCCCAAAGCCCTTCGAGCAAAGGTTTGGAGGCTCGCACTTGCACTTGGAGGTCGATCAAGCCTATGGAAACGGGGTTTGAGGTAATGGGCCTTCTCTGGGCCCCTGCTATCGTGTACTCCTTATGCATTTACCCTAAACCCTAGAATCCTGATGCGGTGCTCAGAACTTGGAGGGCTTCGACTTTAAGGTTTAGGATGCTCTCTCTCTCTCTCTCTCTCGCCATGTATGTACGTTGCGTCTATACAAGATCTGAATCGACGCCTTATATGCTATGCATCCCCTCACTGAGTTATTCATAGGATTTTCGGGCATTGGCCGCTTTGGGGTTTGCGAACCCTAGATCCCTAAACCCTAGGGTTCCTGGGCTTGTGCCCCGAGATAACGGCGGCGGCGGCAACGTCATCGTGGACCCGCCGCCGGCGGTGGCTGCCAGACTCAAGTTCACAGCCCTTACAGATCCCTCAACCCGACCTAAACCCCAGTCCTTGAACTTTGTCATAGTTGGGTAACATTTTACATTTTTAAGGGTACCTAAACCCAATAAGGAATATAAATTTAAAATTTGAATATTGTCCCAACAATGAACTAGTGAATAGTTCCTGAGACATCTCAAAATACCAAAAAGCCGTCTAAGCATAGCTTCGTACCGAAATTTCCAACGCCACAAAGCCCGGCCACACGCCCAGATCTCCAATGATCCGGCAGTGATGGAAGGCCGCGCTCTGCAGGTATACCCTGCAACCTAGAATCCTAAACCCTAAATAGAAACTCTAAACCCTTGAAACCCTAAACCATTGAACCCTAAAGCCTTGAAACCCTAAACCATTGACTCTCTAAACCCTTGAAATCCTAAACCCTCTAAACCCTCAACCCTACTCAGACCCTTCCCGCTCAGGTTTCAGGCTTGAGGGTCTGTTCAGAGAAGCCCCCAGCCGCAAACGCTTAACGGCTTGCATGGTAGGGAGTACCCAAACCCTAAACTTGAACCCTAAGCCCAAGTAGCACTGCAGCCGTGGCTCTGGGTTATGATCGTTGTGGCGCATGCAGGATTTGCGCAGGGTTACTTATATAGGACCTAATCCAAGGCTTATACGGAGTCTGACATGGGGTTTTGATGGCGTGTCGGGGTTTAGGTCATTGCTGCAAGGCATCCGATATGCATGCGCTTTTCCGTGAGCTGTATCAGCCCTATATGACTGAACCTGAAAACCCTCAACCCTAAACCCTAAGCCCTAAGCCCTAAGCCCTAAGCCCTAAACCCTAAACCCTAAACCCTAAACCCTAAACCCTAAACCCTGACTCCTTTGGTGGAGGCATCGGCCCGGATACGTCGGTCTCCCGCGCGGAGTGGGCCTCGGCGATGCTCGCCGTGGGTGTCTGCCGCCAGGAAGCTCCTCCGGTAGGGTTTCGGGTTTCGGGTTTCGGGTTTAGGGTCTAGGGTCTAGGGTCTAGGGTTTAGGGTTTAGGGTTTAGGGTTTAGGGTCTAGGGTCTAGGGTCTAGGGTTTAGGGTTTAGGGTTTAGTGTCTAGGGTTTAGGGTATTGGGTTTATAAGGGTCTTGGGTTTTGGCTTTTGGGTTTTGGGCTTAGCATCCCTCCAAAATCACTTGAGAAAAATGGTAGCTTGAGGGTTTTGGGGATCCTTCCGGGCTTTGTAGGGATCGTTTTATTTGGGGCCTTGGGGGATGATTTAAGGCTCCAGGGTAGCAGGGTTTAGGGTTTCGGGTTTAGGGTTTGAGGGGTTGGAGGCAGTGCCAGCCAGGAGCGACTCCAAGGCCCCTCTCCCAGCAGTTTACAGAGCCATCTGAGACAGCCCAGGATGTCCCGCCATTGTCTTAGTGGTGCTCAGGAGGGAAATAGGGAATCAGGTATCCTATGCAATCCCTTTAAAGGCTTATGTCACGGGATATATTCTGGTACAAGACCTTTGTGAAGCCGTTAAGGGACCTTGTACAAACTCCTTAAGAATCACCCTACGTAACCCCGGAACCCACAACCCTATATCGACCTCGATACCCCAGAAACACATAAGAAAGCCTACAGAAACCTTGAGATCAACCCGAAAATATCCCTTCATCAGCGCACACAAATCCCCAGAAGTCGACGCTTCTTGTAGGCAGCCCTGGACAGCTTCGACAGCTGCCAAGCAGCCATGGGCCAGGACCAGGGTTTAGGGGTTAATGGGTTTCCGACTATATGCAAGTACCGAAAAAGCTTCGTTCTTGCGTTGTTTTGCTCGCTGCCAAAGTGCAGCCAGTGATTTCGTGTTTGGGGCTTTAAGAGGTCTTCCTGGGTCTTAAGGTCGATGGATAATAAGAATAAGAATAACAGCAATACTTATTTTGTGATGTTTTTTATTTTTATTACTGTCATTATGATTACTCTTATCTTTTCAGTGTTATTATCGTTATTGATATTCTCATTCTGATGCTGATTATTGGTTAGTATTGTGTCCGGTACACATGTGCAACGCGTGGAGAGGAGGGTGACCTTACCGTTCAGAGCCTTGCTGCTGAGCTGAACGGCCTGGGTGGAGCCCCTGGTGTGGAGGCGCCCTCAAATGCCAAGGGCTCTTATGAAGGCTTCTTTAAAGGGCCGCTTAAGGGCTTGTTATAGGGTTCTTAAGCGCTCTTTGTGAGGGCTTTTTGAGGGCTTTTGAAAGGCTTTTGAAGGGCTTTTGAAGGGCTTTTGAAGGGCTTTTTGAGGGCTGTTGAAGGGGCTTCGAAGGGCTTTCAAAGGCACTCGAAGGGCTTCAAGGGCTGCTGAGGGCTTTTATATAAGGGCTTTTAGGGGCTTTTCAAGGTTGTTGCGGGCTTTTGAGGGTTCGGGGTCTTTTAGGGTTTGCAGGGAAATTTCCGGGTGCTCAGGGCTTCCCAGTTTGTGGTTTTTGGGGCTTTTCTTGGGGTGCTTGGGGTCTGCAAGGCCCCCAACCATGAACCCCAGTTCTCGCATCTCGAGAACCTAGCTTCTTGAAAGCTGTACTTGTGATTTTAACTAAGTTTGTTCATCCACCGACTGCTAAGAACTAAGACCTAAGATCCTCAACATCTCCCCCCCCCCGCCCCCACTTCCATCACTGCCTCTTCCTGCCCCCCCCCCCCCCCCGCCCAAGACCCAAAACCTGAAAACCCTAAACCTTAACCCCTGAAACCCTAAGCCCCAAGCCCAAGACCCGAAACCCAAAACCCAAAACCCAGAACCCCAACCCCGTGAACCCTAAACCCCAAACCCCAAACCCCAAACCCTGAACCATGCACCCTGAACCCCCAAATCCCAAACCCCAAACCCTGAACCATGAACCCTAAACCCCAAACCCTGAACCCTGAACCCCCGAACCCTACATCCCAAACCCTGAACCATGAACCCTAAACCCCAAACCCTGAACCCTGAACCCCCCGAACCCTAAAGCCAGCCTCAAGAGGAACTCCGGGATGCCATTGGCAAGGCTGATGGGGCTCAACTCCCCGCTTTTCTTTTCGGATGTTTTTTTTTTTCTGTCGGCGTTTAGGGTTTAGGGTTTAGGGTTTAGGGTTTAGGGTTTAGGGTTTAGGGTTTAGGGTTTAGGGTTTAGGGTTCTGAGGGCAGCGGGGGTCCCCTTCAAAAGGGGCGTTTTACAGAGCTTCGGCTCAGGAGTCTTAAGAACTCGAGAGCCCGAAACCTTTCAAACCTATACTTCAGGGGTTTAAACCCCTGGTTCTTAGTAGGGAATGAGGGAATGAGGGCCCTATATACATATATATATATATGGTATTTATATATATATATATATATATATATACCTTTAAGGGATTCTATAGGGCCCTCATTCCTTCATTCCCTTCTAAGAACCAGCCAGTTGAGGGAAAAACAAAGACCCAGGGGTTGAGGTTTGTTGGTTTCAAGTTGGGGGCAAGACGGCTGAGGCTCAGAAAGTGTTTGGGTTCAAGGACGTTTAGGGCAGGTTTTTCTGGGGCTTGCAAGGTTTAAGGGTTGAGGGATTTCAGGGGTTTTAGGGTTCAGAGGTGGCCCGGGCTGAGGCTTTTTGGGGAGTTGATGGTTCAGGGTTCAGCCTTGTTGGACTATAGAACTTAGTGCCCGAACCCCCCCCAAAACCTTGAAGCCCAAAGCCCTTGAAACCCTAACCCCCCCCCCCTTCCCCCACTGAAAGCCTAAAGCCTAAAGCCGGAACCCCTGCACCCTGCATACTCTAGACCTCCCCCCCCTCCCCGACGCCCTTTAAACGTGAAAGTGTCCTTAGACCTGGAAAGCTTCTCCGGGCATGTCTGGGTGTTCCAAAGCCGAGTGAAGACTCGGGGTTCCCGAAAAAACACAACGACCATCTCAACAGGGGGGCTTCGGTGCTTTAGGGAGTAGCCTCTGAACCCTGACAAAACCCAAAACAATGTAACCAAAAACCCTCCCAACAAGGGGCCCTAACTTAGAACTTGGGGAAGAATCCGCAGGTGAAGTGCGGCAGCGTGAATGCTGTGGACCTGGATGCGCCTGCCCTTGGGCTGCAAAGGGCTCATTTAAAGGGCAGGGCTCTGTGTCAGAGTGTGTGCGTGTGCGCGTTTGCGCGTGTGCGTGTGTGCGCGTGTGCGCGTGTGCGCGTGTGCGCGTGTGCGCGTGTGCGCGTGTGCGCGTGTGCGCGTGTGCGCGTGTGCGTGTGCGCGTGTGCGTGTGGGTGGGTGGGTGTGTGTGTGTGTGTGTGTTTATTTATTTGTTGTTTGTTTGCTTGGTTGGTTGGCAAGATTTCGGGTGGAGAGTTTGGGTTCCCAGTTACTGCGAACCAAAGTCGGGCTATGCAGCATATAATATGACTTCTTCCCAAATATGGTGGCTTAATGTAAGTCTCTCGGCCCGTGCGCGCCCTCGAAACTTCCACGAACCACGCCTTGGTAAAGCCATAAATGCTCGCTTTGGAAAACAGGCAGAGGAGAGCGACTTCGAGCGGGAGCTGGCCATGAAGACAGGCTCGGTTTAGGGTTTAGGGTTTAGGGTTTGGGGTTTAGGTTTAGGGTTTAGGGTTTAGGGTTTGGGGTTTAGGGTTTAGGGTTTAGGGTTTAGGGTTTAGGGTTTAGGGTTTAGGGTTTAGGGAAGTGGGCAGACTTTGGGTGCTTTGGAGCGTTTTTGTTGGGCGGTTGTACGGGCTTCGTGTGAAAAGCCAAGATGCCCAGCAGCGCCTTAATTCCCTGAAGGGCCCTTTCTGCCCCCCCCCCCCCCCCCCCGCTTCCATAACACCAAGAAAGGGCCAACCCCTGTAAGCACCCCAACCCTAAACCCTAAACCCTAAACCCTAAACCCTAAACCCTAAACCCTAAACCCTAAACCCTAAACCCTAAACCCTAAACCCTAAACCTTAAACCCTGAATCTTAAGAATGGCTCCTTTGGGTTTGGTCGCTGTCGGAAGGCATCGATGGCCTGCTCTACCATCTCAGCGTTCAGAACAAGCCGCCGCAGGGCCTGAGAAACGGGTTGGGTTTCGGGTTTAAGGTGTAGGATTTAGGGAGTTTAGGAGTTTGGGGTTCGGGGGGAGAGTTTAGGGTTTAGGGTCTGTAGGGTCTGTCGGGTTCATGGTTTGAAGTGCGGTTTTTTCGCAGCACGTGGGAACCCGACAGCCGCCCACATGTTGAGGCCTGATCTGAGTGATGGGCCTCTTCGGCACCCTAAACTCCAAGCAAGACATTCGAATGGAGACGCCCCCCTCAGAAGCGCCTGGATCAAGCTCGTATAAGTTTGTGTGTGGAGCGTGGAGCCAAAAGGTCTATTGGAATACGCCCGTAAGATTGTCGCTCCTACTGCAAGGTATGTAGCCACGCGAGCCACAGGGAAGCTTTCCTTCAAGCAGCAAAAACTAGTCTTGCGACATTGTTATCGCAACCATAGGACCAAGTTCAGACCTCCTTATAGTTTGATAAACCCCATACGCCCTGTAAAGAGTTAGCAATGACCATTTCCATTTTCTAATCATGCACCACCCCCTAGCACCCAAACCATAACAACCTATACCTCAACCCTAACCTCACCAAAGTATCCATGGTAAGACCCACAAGATGGAACCACTAGAAGAAACCATACACCACCACATAGAAAAACCCCAGCCTCAACATCATACACCAACACCCTCATAGAAAAAACATATTCCCCAACCCGAAATCCCTAACCTTAGAAAATGAAAATGGTATTCTCTAATAAAATATTGTAATAGGAATAAGGTTTAGGTTTAAGGTCGAACCGACTAGAACGATAATTGTAGCAAATCCTGAGCTACTTGTCTAAGTTCCGTTTTCAGCTGCAAACGCACCCTTGAGCATTTCTTCCTGCATCCATCTCCCAGCGGCCCATGAAAGCAGGCCTGGCATTTGCCTTCTTCCTTTGGGGACGAAGGGCGCTATTCCAGTCTTTTCTTGCGGTCCGTCCTGGCTCTGGGTGCATTCACGCACAGGGTCAGACACGTTTCGCGGGGCCAAGCAAAATAAACAGCTGGACTCGGACCTTGCGCGCATTCTCAACACGTTCCAAAGATGTTCGAGTTTCCAACTGGGTAGTGAGGAAGAGTGTATTCAGCTTCAGCGGACATTTGCAGCGTTGTTTGCCAGCACATGTCGAACCAGCTTCAGCAGTCTCAGCGTGCGAGAAGCATACTTGTGCAGTGCGGTCAGATGGTCAGCTTGTCTGCTTTGGACGCAATCGTGATGGGCAGTGCGACGTCCCAGCAGATTTGGGACCAGTTTTGGCAGTCGCAGCGGGCGATTTTCATACTTGTGCAGTGCGGTCAGATGGTCAGCTTGTCTGCTTTGGACACAACAGTTGTGGGCAGTGTGACGTCCCAGCAGATTTGGGACCAGTTTTGGCAGTCGCAGCGGGCGATTTTCATACTTGTGCAGTGCGGTCAGATGGTCAGCTTGTCTGCTTTGGACACAATGATGAGGGGCAGTGTGACGTCCCAGCAGATTTGGGACCAGTTTTGGCAGTCTCAGCCGGTGGTTTCCATTCTTGTGCACTGCGGGCAGATGGTCAGCTCGTCTGCTTTGGATACGACCCTCTTCGTCGAGAGGACGTCCCATCAGATTTGGGACCAGTTTTGGCGCTCTCAGCGGGCGATTTTCATACTTGTGCAGTGCGGTCAGATGGTCAGCTCGTCTGCTTTGGACACAACGGTGGTGGGCAGTGTGACGTCCCAGCAGATTTGGGACCAGTTGTTGCAGTTTCAGCAGGCAATCTTCGTACTTGTGCAGTGCGGTCAGATGGTCAGCTTGTCTGCTTTGGAGACAACCTTTTTGGGAGGTGTGACGTCCCAGGAGATTTGGGACCAGTGTTGACAGTCTCAGCGGGCAATTATCATACTTGTGCAGTGCGGTCAGATGGTCAGCTTGTCTGCTTTGGACTCAATGGTGATGGGCAGTGTGACGTCCCACCAGATTGGGGACCAGTCTAGTGGGTCATTGTCATACTTGTACTGCGCAGAGGGGACAGATGATCAGCTTGTCTGCTTTGGAGACAACTTTCTTGGGAAGAGTCATGTGCCCAACAGGTGATCGTGAAGAAAATATAGAGTGCTTACCCTCAAGCCTTCAGTAGTGCAAATCTCAAATACTGCCTGTTATTGCCCTCAACTCTGTAATAATTTTGCCCTAACTTATTTTCAATATTTTCTATGCTATAAACATTCTGTGACCAGTTGCTCACTCTTTCTTTTTCATTTAGTTTTCGCTTCCTAAATATCTTAACTTCGTCGCCTACATCTAATTCAGGATAAACATGGTTCTTCTTTCCTTTCACTGTTAAACCCAACTTCACTTTGAATTGGTTACTGGGCTTTCGGGCTTCCTTAGGTGTACAACCCGTTGCCGAGTGCTTCATTTGATTATTATCTGTTAATAATATTTCTAACATGTAGTCTGGCCATTGGATGTTTTCCTTTTCCTTTTTTTCATCTGCTTCAATCCTCTTATATAACATATCTTTAAAAGTGAGGATGGCTCTTTCACTAAAATTTGGGTGCGCCCTCGTTCTATGATGTTCTATGTTCTCATCCTTCAAATACTTTTGTATTGCCTCCTTGTTCAATGCGCCTTCATCATCCGTTTAAATTATATCGGGCTTCTTACCCATCTTATTTAAACACTCAATCATCCCACTCGCTACATCTCCTTCTTGTTTGCTATTTATCGGCACTACATGCACAAACTTATCAAAAACATCAATCATCAAAACACCTACCCTAGACGTTTGTTCATCCAAATCGTTTATAAAAAACAAATCCATCTGATACTCATATGCGGAATGAGGGGCGATAAAGCTGTGTTGACCTACCGGCTTTCTTTTTTGTTCAACATTCTTTCTAAAAAACACGTTAATATCACGCATTGTTATAGTTTTGTCCTTCTCCCGTGCTTCCGCTAGTGTTCTGGATTTACTCCCGAAACCGGCCTTATCAAAATAAACATCATTAATGGTTGTTTTGCTTTTCACTCATATAAACTAGTAGCGAAAGTAATGATTTAATAAAATGTTTAAATCATCATTTAGTATTGTCATCAGTCATAGGCATAACAGTTTTACAGTTCACCATATCATATTTGATTGTTCCACCACGTTTCTTCCTGATGGTTTTTCATCGTTCATAATTTCGGTAATTTGTTTTTCTGTTAAATCTTCTTGGTTAATATTATGAGTTTGAACATATTCCTTAATTCGCTTCGTCTGCGCGTGTCTCAATCCAGCATCACGCTTTTTTTGCATGTATGCTTCGTCGTCCTTCCGTAAATTATAATTAATACAAACGGTTGTATATCGCCAATTGTTCCCTTATCTCATCCAAAGTCATATCTTCGGGGTTTTTATAGGACATCTCGCGTTCGCTCGATAAACTTTGTGTCATAATATTACTATACTAGATATGATTTTCAAATCTTTAAATACTTTTTCTTCAAAAAATGATGTTTAAAAATATTTAAAATATTTAAACATGTTGAAAATATCTTAAGAAAAACTCATTTAAAAACAAAAAATATTTTGTATAGTAATTCTATAGTCATATGACCAAGAACATCAAGCGCAACACCCGAGCATTACAAACAACCTACGAGAATTACAAAAATCGTCTCGCACAAGGCACTAGAGCAAAAATACAAAATCTAATTGATTTTTATGAAGACCGTAAAATAGCACAATTCACCACCGCGGATAATTTAATCAGACAGTTTATAACCGCAAAACCGACAAACAAAAAGCGAAAGCAAACACAGCATACGACAAAATCCACGACAAACACCACGACAAAGAACCATTGGGGCGACGAATGCAGGAAGCAAAGAAGGAAAACAGGAAACGAAATACTTACAACATCTACACAGTAGATGCGTTGTTTTAGTTTTACAGACTGAAGGACGAAAAAAATGACAAGGAACTCAAGACAGCGTGTATTGGAAAGACCCGAAAACCTTAAACGTAAAATCTACTAATTACATAGAAGACATAGTTAGAAAAAGGGTATTTCGCACAGAGAAGGACACTCTGATATTGTTTTATAAGTTGTTGCATACCTTACAAACCGACCCAGAAGCGAGGGACGAGCTAGAACAACACAAGGACTACATTGATTGTATTAAATTGCTCAGTGTAGAACGGAGTGATGGTGATGTCAATTTTGACCCTAAAAATGAAAAACTAACAAATACAGCAAATTGAAGTAAATTTAACATCTACATTCAAACGCCTTTAGACCCCGAGTTTGAAACCTTTAAGGAAGCCATAAATGTAAAGCATTACAAAGAGAACGAGTGTTGGTTCAACACCATAACCGATTGGTATAAGGATACATTAATGGACGAGCAGAGAAGGGAAAAGAACAGATTAACAAAGGACAGTATGTTAAAGCTGATGAATAAAACCGAAGATGAGTTTAAAACGAATGGGGCGTCAATACAAGATATGGTGCCAGTGTTTGAACACTACGGCATTCAAGTAAGGATATTCAACTCCTTCATAAAGCCGATTTTCAAATACTCTCCGACCAAATACAACCACCATATACCAACATTATATGCACTAGTTAAAGATAATTATATCTACACAGCAAATGACAATCTGCAGATGTTACGGCAGATGGTGGTCATCCGTGAAAATCAAGATGTATCAGTTAAGGCTTCCCCAGATTACCACATAAACGAAAATAACGAACCCACTGAATGCAAAATGATACAGTCCTTAAACGACCTGAAGAAATTCAGAGAAAAAGACAATTACACACGAATTTACGATGGTAATGATTTAACCCAGTTGTTTTATGAAAGCAAGATGGCGGGATATGAGCCACAGGTAAGATTTACAGGTTGTATTATATCCGATTTATATTTTAAATTCTACGTTAAAAAGAAGAGCATACGATACAGGATTAAAACACAAAATCTAGTGACGAGTTCCGTTGATGGAACTATAACAGTACGGAACAGATTTATAACAAAATGTCTAAGGCGATGTATGAATTCAACAAGGCATTATTTAATCCCTTACATAAATCCTATTACAACGAAACCGACATACAACTTCTTAGGGAATGCCGAACAATCCCGCCAGTGGGAGAACTAAATAAATTCTACAAGGTGTTTAACCAAAGAACCGAGAAATATGAAAAATACGGATTTATGTCCGAAACAACTACCGAAATAGATGTAAGAAAAGCTTATACCCACGCCTTCAACCAAATTACCGAAATCCCTGTCTTTAATCAGTTTGATATATGGAAGCAGTTTAGTTACAAAGCCCACGATTACAGCAAGTTTCACGAACTGACTTTGTTTTTAGTAAA